TTTTTTTTCATATAAAAATGAGTAATGACGAATTTCCTGAAAAACCACCATTCTTTGAACCATATTATGGACCACATGATGAACCATATTATAGACCACATGATGAACTATATTATGGACCGCATGATGAACCATATTATGGACCGCATGATGAACCATATTATGGACTGCATGATGAACTACATTATGAGGCCAGTGATAATGTATCATCAGTTGGTTCTAATAGCAGGGTCACTTCAACTTTTTCAGAAGACCAACCTTGCATTACAAAAAAAAAAATTAAATTAACTTATTCAAATCATCGACAGCAGTATGCAAAGACAAGCTGGGTATGGAAATACTTTATCCTAAGTCAAGACAAGAAGTACGATGTGTGTACTGTTGAAATTATGAATCTGAACAATAAAAAGGTCAAATGTGATCACAAACTTATACATGATGGTAGTACAGGAAATATGAGCCATCATCTTCATTCCAAACATAACCTACATGAAAGTCATAATAAAGTAAGTTTTTATTAACCTAACTTTAATGATTAATCTTAAAATAATACTTATGCTATTAATTTAGAACAAAGACAATACGATACAGCAAACAATAACAGAGGCTTTTAGATGGGTTAAACTACACAAAGAGCCACAAAATCAAGAAATTAGGCAAGCAATTGCCGAATGGATTGTTGTTGACAATTTACCAATTAATGTAATTTACAAAAAAGGCTATAAAAAAATGATGAGGATTGTAGATCCGGCCTTTAAAATTCCTAGCAATAGAAAAATAAAAAAAGAAATTTTTACTGGCTATAATAACACAGTTGAAAATTTAAAAGAATTATTAAACAATACATGCGAATCAGCGTCTTTGACCACTGATTTGTGGACTTCACGAAGTAAGCATGGGTATGCAGGAATAACAGTTCATTGGCTGTCAAGTGATTTTAAGGTGTACGATTGCCTTCTTTGCATAGAACGTATGCTTTATCCCCATTCAGCTGAAAATATTGTTACTTTTTTAAAAAAAAAATATTTGAATTTAATTTAAATAGAAAAATCACTTGTATTATAACGGACAATGGTAGTAATATGGTAAAAGCAATTAGGTTATAGGAGGGGGTCGAGCATTTACCCTGCGCTGCGCATACTTTGCAGCTTTCTGTAACTCGTGCTTTTAGGAAAAATAATACACATGTTAAAAGAATAAAATGGCTAGTTCATTTTTTTACAAAATCTCTTAAACAATGTGAGCGTCTTGACGAAGCTCAACAAGAATTCCAACAGAGCACACTTGCTGCAACATCTTCCATAACCCAAAATAAAAATGACTTTGTTGATATATTAAGTAATTCTGATGTTAGTGATGTTAGTGATTTAGACAATTCGTTGCCATTAAACGTAGATTCTGGGGAGTCTGTTTTGTGAAATATTGCAGATGTAGAGACATGCTGGAACTCCAAGTATCATTCTTGGAAACGGTTACTTAAATTGCGAAAAGCAATAGAATGGTTAGCAGCAACATTGCCCTTATCTGACTATTCAGATAATTGAGCTGATGGTCAAAAACTAAATAAACGTCTTCTTTTACCTTATGAATGGGATTTATTGGAACAAATTGTTAGTTTGTTGGAGCTATTTGATAACGCCACTGCATATTTTAGTGGGTCGAAATATGCTACTTTATTAATAATTTATCCTTTGATCCAGGTTCTTAAATACAAATTTATTGATACTGAAATAATTAGTGATTCTTTAAATGATGACGACGAAGGTACTGTAATTATAAAATTAAA